CGGTTCTTAGGACAATCGGGTCTGACCCGATAGACTCAATTATAATAAATAAAAAATAAATATTTATATTTAATGTATATATTAAATATTCTATATATAATTTATTTATTTAATATATTATATATAATTGACCCGTCAGTTCCAATTCCGGGAATTAAAACCAGCACAATCAATTTGGATCCATCGGATCCATTGAGTCGAACCCGACCCATTGACAGCCCTATCTATGAGGCTAACAAAGCTTCAACAGCTTATGTACTAACTCAAAAAATGATTGCAAGGTATTGGCAACAGGAGTTACGATCCAAGCAAACCAACCATCTCATACTGAGTGGCATGCAATCCTCCTGGAATTACAGGAAGCAAAAAGTGGGAACATTAAGGATATCACTATTTTCCGCGATGCATTAAGCAAAAAGTGGGAAAATCAAGGATATTACTATTATATAAACAGAAACCAAAACATACTTGCTCATGCTATATAGCTCACTAGCTCAGCAAGTGTGTAGAAGAGGATCACAGCTACTGTTTCAACTACCTTTCAAAGGGCTAGATGTAAATATTTTCAAGAATATAATATAATCTCTTTTCATGGGAAAAGAAAAAAAGAACAACCACTAAGGCGGTAAAGCTCACCACTCGCACTGAATTCATAGGCTTAACTTTTTTTAATCATACATTGTGCCAAAAAGGGAAATGAAAAAAAAAAGTAAAAAACATAATATAATCAAAATAACGCAACATAATTTTGATATCATCCGGAAATTGTGTGTGTTTAGAATCGTGGGCATTTATTCATTAAATATTTGTATTTGATTTATTTGCAAAATCAAGAAAAACAATAATGAATTTGTTTATTGACACTTAGGCATCACATCAGTAAGGCAGTGAATAAACGCCTACTCATTGGAAAAGTCAATTTAAGGGCATATTTTAAGGTCGAGCCTACATCAGACCTGCAAATTTTAGGGCCAGGCTTGGGCTTAATACTTCAAGCCTGGCCCAACTCACATATATTTAAACTTACACATTTTGTGTATAATGTATACATGCTATTTTACATTATATTATATATTTAATATATAAATATTATAACATGACATGTATAATTTATATTATATGTAATATTTTATATTATATAATGTATAAAATAAGTTTATATACATGTTATATCATTTAATATATAGATATATAATATTTTATATATGAGTGACATTGGCCCGGAATCAAGTCTAGCTTGGCCCAAAACCCTGGGCCGGGCTGGGCCCAGACCTAAGTTATAGCCCTTATCATAAGCGCAAAGCCCAGCCCAGCCTATGAATCACCCCTAATATTCACTGTTTAATTTCAACAGAAGATAATACACCACCTGCAGCCATAAATGAAATGAAACCAAAATATCCTCCATCGCAAGAGAGGGGCAGGAAATTCACTCCCCATTCCCATCCCGGTCCCGAGTCGAGTATTACTATCAATCCTCATAAGCTGGGTACTCAATGGGAATGAAAATTGTCATCCTTAATATGTTGTTCCTTCAAATACGGAGGTATTGGATGCAGGATATGAGATACACAACTGCGGGTAGCCTTTTCCCAAGCCTCTAGCAAATTACGTACTTTTGCTACAGCAAAACCGTGTGTGGGAGAAGAGGATGGGTTGGTCTGTCTGTGTTTGAAAATTGGAGTGGCAAAACAGGTCCCTGAAATTGGGATCCTAACTCAACAATCTCTTATTTGGAACACGAGAAGAAACCTCTAAGAATTTAGAATTTACCTCAATGCTCAGTTTGGAAGGAATACAAATACAAATTTATAGAGTGCAAAATCTTAGATTTTGTATTATTTTGTATATATTTGTACTATACATATATGCATTTGTACTCCTTCCAAACTGAGCGAAAAGAGGAAAAGTGGACATGAGGGAAAGTCAATTTATCTATCTCTTCCTTTATTTTTTTTTTCTCTTTTTCACATTCTCCCTTCTCTATCAGGGTGTTTATGGGTGTGGGGAATTTTTAGAAGTTTCCTTGCTTGTTGTCACTCTGTTAGTCTAAAAACATTGTAAATTGGGGGCCCATACCCATATGGAACCCAATATCAATACATTCAACATACCCAAATACGAAATACCCTCAATTGAGTCATACCCAAATACCATACACAGTAGCTCTGAATAAATCAAGCGGGCAGTAACACTTGCTCAAGTGTTGCAATATAAAACCGGGAATTGTGAATATGACCCAAGGAGGCTGCGTCTACAGTGAAGTTTTCTCGGTATATTTCTTGTGCACATGTTGTTAGAGAGCCATATTTATACTGGTATCTCTAGCACACAACAATACAGAATTTTACTATTAGAAGGGAGAGCCCTTCTTATCCGACAATTCACCAACCACCTTGACTTGATCAGCCTCTTGCATCAAGGGACAAGTGTCCCACAAGGTAGGATTAGTCGCCCAGATTTTCTCAACTAACTTGCCAAATTCTGACCACACCAAGCAAATAAATAGCTGACGTGGTCATTATTTGTTTATCTGTAAATAAGCACAAATAATGGGAGTCAAAAACAAAAAATATTTACCCATTGGTATAGGCTATGCCATCGACCATAGGATTTATCCATACACCAAGGTTGTTCTGAATCGAGGGCATCTAGCCACTTAGATCAACATCTCCCACTTGGCCATGTAGGCTCGAGATTTCAGCTAGCACTTGAGACCCATACTAAGTTTATGCCTTTTGAAGTTTTCACCTGTAATAGGCTTAGTAAAAGGGTCAGCTAGCATATCTCTAGAAGGCACATACTCTATCCAGATCTCTTTCCTTTGGTAGATATCAAACAAGTATCTGTATTGAAGCTCTATATGTCTTCCCTTAGGGCCAACTTTCCCGTTCTTTATGGTTTGAATGGCAGCTTCATTGTCATTGTAAATTAGGGTTGAGACACAGTTCAGGCCTTCCACCTTAAGTTCAGAGGCTGCATTACTGCATGTAATGAACTCCGCTTCCATTGTAAATTTAGCAACACAACCTTGTTTTTTGCTGGCCCACGAAACTGCTCCTCCTCCTAAGAGAAAGACATAGCCAATTGTTGATTTTCTATCATCAACATCTCCTGCAAAGTCAGCATCACTATACCCTACTAGTTCCAATTCACCACAAGAGTAGGTTAGCTTAGTATTTTTAGTTCCCTGGAGATATCTAAAAATTCTATTTATTGCATTCCGATGAGATAATCCTAGGTTACTTTGAAATCTGCTAACCAAGCTAACGACAAAACTTAAATCAGGCCGAGTGCAGAGCATGGCATACATAAGGCTGCCTACAGCTTGAGCATAAAGCTTCTTAGACATTTCTTCATTTTCTTGTTCATTTGATGGGCACATTTCTATTGTTAGTTTTGTTCCCATAATTATTGGAGTGTCAACCAATTTGTATTCATCCATTCTAAATTTCTTAATGATGGAGTCTATGTATCTTTCTTGTGATAGGGCCAAAGTTCTTGTTTTCCCATTTCTCTCTATCTTTATTCCAAGAACAAAAGAAGCATCACCTAAGTCTTTCATTTCAAATTTAGAGTTTAAGAAACTCTTTGTCTTTTCTATTAAATTCATATCGTTTCTAGCAATCAAGATATCATCCACATAAAGAGATAACAACACAATGGAACTCCCACTATTTAGGACATAAACACAGTGATCAAAAGTATTAGGAACAAAACCAAGTTTTGTAATTGCATTGTGAAAAATATAATACCACATACGAGGAGATTGTTTTAAACCATACAAGGACCTTTTTAATTTGTATACTTTTTCTTCTTATCCCTTTATTACATATCCCTCTGGTTGTTGCATATAAATTTCTTCATTAAGTTCTCCATTTAAAAAGGCAGTATTTACATCCATTTGGAATAGTTCCCAATCAAAATAAGCTACTAAAGCAAGTAATATTCTAATAGAGGTGAATCTAGTAATTGGAGAATATGTTTCTTCAAAATCAACTCCCTCTTTTTGTGTGTAGCCCTTAGCTGCCAATCTAGCTTGGTACTTTTCTATTAATCCATCTGATTTTTATTTCCTTTTAAGTATCCATTTACAGCCTATAATTTTCCTACCTTTAGGTGGTTTGACTAAATCCCACACATGATTTCTAACCATTGAATCAAACTCTTTATCCATGGCTGTTTTCCATTTTTCATGATCAAAAGAAGTCATTGCTTCAGTAAAATTTAAAGGATCAGTTTCATAATCAATTATGTAGTCAGTTTTAGGGCCGTTCACGGGTCGGGTTGGGTCAGTTTATTGGCGTTTTCCCAACCGACCCGACCTGGTCGGTTTACCTAGAAATGAAACCAAAACCGACCCAATACTAAGTAAAACCGACCTGGTTGGTTTGAATCGGTTTGGGTCGGTTTTGTGAATGATTCTCTCGGTGTGAACGGTAAAGGATTCAAGTCTAAGAAAGCAAAGGCCTGGATGCCTGGAAATTAAAAATGATTTGATGGATTAAAACTGATATTTTATATATCAGAAATTATATATATATATATATGTCGGTTCGGTTTTGGTTTTCACACATGAAAACTGAAACCAAACCGAACCATCGGTTTATGCTTTTTTGTAACCCGAAACCGACCGGTGCTGAAGAAAAACCGGCCAACTTGGGTTGGTCGGTTGGGTCTTGTTATGAACAACCCTAGTCAGTTTGGAAAGTATAAAAGTCTTTGTATTTACTAGAGGGAATTCTTTCTCTTTGAATTCTAGTGATTGTATCAACTTTAGGTGATTCACTAGTGTTAGGACTATCAACAGCCTTTTCTTTTTCTATTTCAAAGATGTCAACTAATTTCTTTGGATCATTTGGGTCAACTTTGTCTTCTAGGAATTCAGCATCCCTGCTTTCAACTAGTTCAATTGATCCATCAGATTTGTGTCTCACAAATCTATATCCCTTTGATGTTTCAGAGTGTCCTATGAAAGTTGCTCTAGAGCTTTTGGAGTCTAACTTATTTCTAAGTTGATTTGGTACCCATACAAAAGCAGAGGATCCCCAAATTTTCATATTTGTAAGATCAGGTTTTCTTCCTATCCAAAGTTCATAAGGAGTTAGTTTATTGATTTTTGTTGGGACTCTATTTAAAATATAGACTGTTGTGGCTATTACTTCCCCTCAAAAATGATTTCCTAAGTTTGAATGGCTTAGCATGGACTTTGTCATATCTAGGAGGGTTCTATTTCTCCATTCAGCTACCCCATTTTGTTGGGGTTTGTAAGAGATAGTCAACTGATGTAAGATTCCATTTTCTAAACAATAATCATTGAACAATTCATAGGTGTATTCTCCACCCCTATCACTTCTAAGTATTTTCATTTTCTTTCCTACTTGATTTTCAACTAAGGTTTTAAACTCCTTGAATTTTTCTAGGACTTTAGATTTTTTATTTAGCAAATAGATAAAACCGTATCTTGAGTAGTCATCTATAAAGGTTACAAAGTATTCCATCTTTCTATAGGTTTTCACATTAATTGGTCCACAAACATCAGAATGTATTATTTCTAAAATTTCTTCAGATTTTTTAGCCTTTCCAAATGGTTTTCTATGCATTTTTCCCTTTAAACAAGGTTCACATGTCTTAAAGTTTATATTCATTTTTGGTAACAAGTCATTGTCACACATCCTCTTTAATTTGTCCCTATTCATATGGCTAAGTCTTAAATGCCATTTATATGAATCTAAGCAAATAGAGAAAACACAATCAATATAAACAGAAGCATTGGCAATTTTATTATTAACATTCAATCGATACAAACCATCTTCTCTAGTTCCCCACAAAAGAATTCTCCCATGTTTCCCTATGGATACTTCCCCATTCCTAAAACGGACTTCAAACCCCTTTTCATCAAGACGAGGTACAAAAATAAGATTCTTCCTAAGGCTATGAACATACAAAGTATCAGATAGAATAAAATTGGTCTCTTCTTTTACAAGAATTTTCACAATCCCTACCCCTAGGACATCACAATAAGAGTTGTTTCCCATAAATGATTTATGTTAGCCTGGTTGCATCTCTTTCAAGTCAAGGAAAGCTTCTTTGGATCTTGCAACATGTTGAGATGATCCGGAATCAATCCACCAAGAGCTCGAGTCAGAATCAACTATGAATGACTCTGAAACCACACAAATTATGTCCTTGGTGTTAGTACCAGGATTTTGTTTCTTTTTGGAGCAATTATATTTGGTGTTCCCCGGAGCACCAAAGTTGAAACAAATCACATTCTTTTTTCCTTTATTAAAGTTAGTCTTTTTGAACCACTTTCCTTTTCCCTTCTGAAATTTAGGTTTAGGCTTCTCACTTGATTTAGTTGGTTCAGATGGAGTGGGTTTAGTAACTAAGGCTTGAGAGTTATTCTTTTTATTTCTTCTCTTAGCCTCAACAGCAAGTAACATGGGGAGATTCTGCATAGTGATGTTTTGGCCAGAGAGGTTAAGGGATATAGCTACTTGTTCCCAAGATTTAGGTAAACTATGTAGAATTGTAGATAATTGTACTTTGTCTGGGATGGAATTTCCTACAGCTGCTAATTCTTTAGCTATTACAATCATTTTGTTAACATTTTCAACAATAGGATCATCTTCTTTTATTGCAAAACCATAAAATTTTTCTATCAATAACTGGATGTAAGATTCAGTAACCTTCCCACAAGTTTCAGTAACAGCATCAAACATATTTTTGGCATATTTATATTCTTCAAATAACATTTCAATATCAAGTTCTATAAAAGTCAGAATAGTAGAACGAGCTATCTTATTATCCTTTTCATATTTATTATGTTTTCTAGTTTCAGCAAGAGTGGCATTTTCACTAGGAACTGGAGGAATATCATCATCTAATATGTAATCTAAACAATCTTGTGCCAGTATCTGTCTAATCCTCCTTTTCCAGATTGGATAATTAGTTCCATTAAGTTTTTCAGTTCTACTTAATTCTACAGCTACAGCTTTACTAGCCATATTCAATATGCAACTAAAAAACCGTAATCTGAATAGGAGTACTTAGCTCTGGTTACGCCAGCCCACGACTATTGTCTCACTGATTATCCATTGATATCAGTTTGCTCCCACTGTTGATGGTATTTGTACCGGTTTGAGTTCCAACCGAAGTTCAACCCCCAAGTATTACATGCAAATAAAAGAGAGAAGAAAAAAGGTTGAAATTTTGTTTTCAACAAATTTATTTTATCTTTATGACAGAGATAGTTTATAGTTGGAATAAATTGAAAAAGCTTAAAACAACTCACCGAATGAGAAGAACAGAGATTCTGGAACTAAGAATTTTAATCGCTAACCAGAGTGCTGGAACCACCAATCAACGAGTAGCCATCATACCAGATAATATCAGTTCAAACACATAAGTCGATCAGCAAAGGTGTTCGATTGCCTCCTTCCAGATCAATTAGATTCGAGAATATTCTTGGATTGAACTGAAGAAAACGGCGAGAATGGGCGTGATTCGAAATAGAGAAAAACTTCCACAGATGGATGTGAAGAAGATGGCAAGAATCGCCTCCTTCCAGATCAATAGAGGATCACTTCTGTGAAAACTCTACTCGGATTTGGAGTCGCCTTCACTGATCTAGTTCGTAGATTAAAGAAGAACCGCACGTGGGGGAAAGAGGGAAGGAAGACTCTCTGTCGCCGATCTGCTTCAAGTGCCGATTCGAATGAGGGAAGAAAGAAATCTCTATGTTGCCGTTCGAAGAGAGAAAGCAGCCGAAGCGAGAAAACAACCTCAGTGATCTTGCATCGGGCAAACGAAAATGAGAAGAAAGGGTTTAAATAGAGAGCCTCGATATGGTGTAGCAGGGTCTATTGTATTCGACTAAAACCTGACTCTGATACCGACATTGCATAGTAGCTTTGAATAAATCAAACGGGCTATAACACTTGCTCGTAGACCTGGCAATTGGGTTGGGTGGGTCGGGTTCGGGTTGGGTCAAGGTACCTCGGGTTGATTTCGGATCGGGTTGAATTTCGGGTTGGATTGTCAAATGTTAGACCCTAACCCTAAACATTTTGAGTTAGGGTTGACCCATGGGTCAATTTGGATCATCCCAAAGAATAATTGAAATTTAAAAAATAAAGAAAAATTATATGAAAATGTCAAAATTAAAAGAATTAACCTTAAACTTCCAAATATAAAATAAAAAACTTGAACATTTAACAATTTAAAGAGTAAACAATAAAAAGTAAAGACTAAATAGAAAAAATTAAAGAGTGAAAAACTTCTAACAATGCATAAATAATCCTAATTAGACTTGACAGTCGGATCAGCGGGTTGACCCATGACCCAACCCAACCCAGTTTTTTTTTATTGGGTCTAATCGGGTCACTTTTTACATTCGGGTAGCTAATATGAGACCCTAACCCTGTTTTTTCGGGTTGGTTGGGTCGGATTTGCGGGTTGGGTCAACTTTTTGCCAAGTCTACTTGCTCAAGTACTCCAATATAAAACCGAATACTGAATATGACCCAAGGAGGCTGCGTCTAGTGAGGTTTTCTCAGTATATTTCTTGTGTACAGGTTGTTAGACTAGAGAGCCATATTTATACCGATACCTTTAGCACACAACGGTACAAAATTTTACTATTGGAAGGGAGGGCCCTTCTTACTCGAGAATTCACCAACCACCTTGACCTCATCAGCCTCTTGGATCAAGGGACAAGTGTCCCACAAGATAGAATTAGTTGCCCAGATTTTTTCAAATACCTTGCCAAACTCTGACCACACTAATCAAATAAATAACTGATATGGTCATTGTTTGTTTATCTATAAATAAGCACAGGTAGTGGGAGTCAAAAACAAAAAATATTTACCCATGGTGTAGACTATGCCATCAGCTGTAGGATTTTATCCCTACACCAACGTTATTCTGAATCGAGGGCATCTGACCACTCATATCAACACCTCTTTCTCTCTTTTTGTTTGTAAGACTTTGGAAGTCAGAATACAACTACAAGTGTCAAGTCCATTAGTTTACATTTAACTTTTGTCTTTTTTCTTCATTAATAATGCTTATGGGATCACATGACTTAGGTTTTTCATGGTACACGGATTCCCTTTCCCGTGGTTACATGTGCTTATATTCTCCCAAAAATGACTAAGTATGTTATCGCATTTAGGGTGCAAATAGATGGGATACCCCCAAATTTGTTTAAAATATATATGATAAAAATGGCTAAAAAATGCTTTTTCTTTGTATAGGTTATTTTGTTTATTTTTCCTATTAATAGTTAAATCAGATTTGGCCAAATTCAAATATCTAACATCTTTATCGAATTCAAATTTGAATTAACCTTTATAAGATCCATCAGATCATTGGATTAGAATGTATATAAGATTTTCATTATCAATTGATTTTGAATATACCCTGATTTGAATTTCATCTAATCCGTTTACATCCTTAATTGAATTTGCACAAAATTTGTACCATTCACTAATAACCATGTCCTTATGTGAGGCCATCTTTTTATACTACGAACTTAGGTATTTTGTAACTTAAGTGTATTATTGTAGCCATACCTTGAATTCAATGAAGTGAGGTTGTGTTGGAGGTTCTTGGAGCCACCACTCAAGTTCCACGGTTTTAGCCCCACGTCATAGCAAAAGTGAGCTCAAGCACTATGAGTTCGAATGAGAGACCCCAACAAACTGGCTCCAACCCTACAGCAACCCCAAGCGAGCGGGAGATGATTATGAAGCTTGCACCGAGTTGCACCCTATGACCTCCCAAGGGCCCTTGCAAAATCAATTATTATTTTTCAACATGTCCAAATTATCATAGGATTAAACATGGATTTGATATTTTGTAAGGCTAGATTAAACTCTATTTTCAGATCAGTGTTTTTAAATTATCGTTAATTGGGACGGTCATACCGCTTGGCTTGGGAACTGTTCAAGCAATTAGTTACATTTCACTCCAAACCCTTTATTTGGCCAAATTAACTTGGTTATTGATCCATTGACCCAAATAATTAAACCGTTGATTTATTGACCTAGATAACATGTTTTAATTATTTTTATTTTTATTTTTTTAAATTTTTTAATTTAAAATGAATTATCCATTCAAATCGAATGATCAAACTGATAATCCAAAAAATGATGGCTAAAGAGATTGTAATTCCAAATCAATTTTTAAAATATTGATTAAGACTACATTCGTATCGGTGTGATTCAAACTTTGACTGGATTGGAGCTATGGTCACATAAACACATTCATATAAAAGAGTTGAAATCAGATCCCAATATATGGTCCCAACATCCTTTGTAGCCATACCCATGCATTGGGAACATATCCCTTCTTTTTCAAGGCGAGATTTTCCCTAATGTACAAGTACAATGCTTGTTGTGATCAGTTGTTGGGACTTGTGTTGGGATATCTGGTATCCATGTAAAACGTGTGTTAAATCATTAATTACAGCATTGGAGATCAATTAGTAGAGGGCCCTCCGTTGGGGTTGGAATTGCAACATTCTAATTTATTATATTAAAAAGACAATGATTTTTTAATAAGAAACTTGCAACTTTAAGTACCTACGTTTTGAAATTCATATAAAGACTTAATATGATCATTATGTGTTTGTTTTTTAAATATTGCTTCAGCAAAATATCTGATCATATAAAGGAATTAATACGATGATATAGTGATAGTTCTAAGTTCTACTTCATAGCTGTCCTTTGTTTCATATCAAGAATTCCCAATTGACCCGAACAATAGGACCACTCAATCCGAGAACCGTCCAAGCAACTGGTTCCGTTTCACCCCAAACCCAGTCCTTGGCCAAAAATTGTTGAATCAATCAATGACCCGTTGACTTGGGTGGTTGACCCGCTCAACAGTTTTTGGTCATTTTTATTTTTTTAATTATTTTTTATTTTTGTTGTCAGAACGGGCCATAGGCAACCGGTTCTGTTTTACCCCAATCCTGGTCCCTAGCAAAAACCGTTGAATCAATCAACGACCCATTGACTCAGGCAGTCGAACTATCGACCCGTTCAATGGTTTTAACCATTTTTTATTGTTTTAATTGGGAACCGTCCAGGAAACCGGTTCCGTTTTATCCCAATCCCGGTCCTTGGCCAAAAACCATTGAATCGGTCAATGACCCATTGACCCGCGTGTTCGAACCGTCGACCCACTGACTCGTTCAATGGTTTTTGGCCGTTATTTTATTTTTTTTAATTTTTGTTGTTATAATGGGCCATATGTTTGAACCGGATAGTCGAACCGTCAACCCAAAAACTGATGGCCAGAACAGTTCCATTTTCGGGTCGTATGAGTCACACGCTCGAATGACATAACACGTATGATATTGCTTAATTGACCTCACACACTCAATTTTTTGCTTGTAATTTTGTTGTCAGAACGGGTTGTCCGTCGAACTAGACAGCCAAACTACCATTTTTTTATTTTTTTAATTGGGAACCGTCCAGGCAACCGGTTCCATTTTATCCCAATCCCGGTCCTTGGCCAAAAACCATTGAATCGGTCAATGACCCATTGACCCGCATGTTCAAACCGTCGACCCACTAACCCGTTCAATGGTTTTTTGTCATTATTTTAAATTTTAAATTTTTGTTGTTAGAATGGGCCATCTATTTGAACCGAACAGTCGAACCGTCGACCCAATAACTGATGGCCAGAACAGTTCCATTTTCGGGTCGTATGAGTCACATGCTCGAATGACATAACACGTATGATATTGCTTAATGGACCTCACACACTCAATTTTTTGCTTGTAATTTAGTTGTTAGAACGGGTTGTCCGTCGAACCGGACAGTCAAACTACCATTTTTTTTTTATTTTTTTAATTGGGAACCGTCCAGGCAACCGGTTCCGTTTTATCCCAATCCCGGTCCTTGGCCAAAAACCATTGAATCGGTCAATGACCCATTGACCCGCATGTTCGAACCGTCGACCCACTGACCCGTTCAATGGTTTTTGGCCATTATTTTATTTTTTTTAATTTTTGTTGTTAGAATGGGCCATCTGTTTGAACTAGACAGTCAAATCGTCGACCCAAAAACTGATGGCCAGAACAGTTCCATTTTCGGGTCGTATGAGTCACACGCTTGAATGACATAACATGTATGATATTGCTTAATGGACCTCACACACTCAACTTTTTGCTTGTAATTTTGTTGTCATAACAGGTTGTCCGTCGAACTAGACAGTCAAACTACCATTTTTTTTATTTTTTTAATTGGAAACCGTCCAGGCAACCAGTTCCGTTTACCCTAATCCCGATCCTTGGCCAAAAACCGTTGAATCGGTCAACGACCCATTGACCCAAGCGATCAAACTATCGACCCGTTCAATGGTTTTTGGCTGTTTTTTTATTTTTAAAATTTTTTGTCAAAACGGGCTATCAATCCGTTCGAACCGGATGGTCGAACCATTTACCTAAAAAATGGTGGCCAGAACGGTTTCGTTTACGGGTCGTATGAGTCACACACTCGAATGACATAACACGTATGATACTGCTTAATGGACCTCACACACTCAATTTTTTTCCCTATGATTTTTGTTGTCAGAATGGGTTGTTCGTTCAAATCGAATCGTCGAATCGTCGACCCGAAAACCAGTGGCCATAACAGTTCCATAATTTTTGTTGTCAGAACGGATCATTCATTAAAACCGGACGATCAAATCGTCAACCCAAAACCGGTGGCATATATATAGGGAAGACCACCCCTATCCCTTTAATAGATATATATAAGATTGCCTATATGATTTGATAGGGCTAAGATCGAGTCTTTGGTATACTACTTTTAATTGGTTAATGGTTAGGCTTGTATACCATCAAATTCAAGCCCATTAGTTCTCATTTCACAGTGCATGTTATACAAATATGATCTGCCATGTGAATTAGGGATGGAAATTTCTACCTTATCTAGTGGGTACCCACTCCGATAGGGCAAGGCTTTTTTTGGGCTTGAAGGATGGATTTTAGAGCAAATAGAGGTTTTGGCATCCTACCAGCAGGGAGGGTAATAGGGTATGGTATTTGGCTAAACCCAGTCCTCCTCACCTTGTATATTATTGGAAAGCATATGAACTTCATGTATTAAGTGTTGAATTTTATGTGAAGGATAATTAATAGTTTGTGTTTTATACAATCTTAATCAAATAATTGAAAATTTTGATGTTTGTTCATATTATTTTACCTATTTATTATTTATATATAATAAAAAATAATAGAAAATTAGACATAAGTTCTAAACCCAGCCCACTCTACCCCTAATTGGGGAAAAGATAAGATTGGGAAAGGTTTTACATTTTTATGTGCAGGAAGAGTTTGGATTCTAAAAATCAAACTCACTATAAATTTTGAGGCGGATAGGGATTGAGAGGTTTGTCGAGAAAGACGGGTAGAATCTAACATTTGTAAAACCCTTTTTAAACCTACTGTTTGCCATCCGTATAAGATCATATTCGTAGAGGATTGGAACGTATTTTGTTTTTTTCTCGATTCATGGGACTACACAGCAGGGGTAGCCCATCCCCTTCCCCCGACCCCTAGTGGAAGCCGGATTTGATTCCAACTCACTTCTCGACGAGAGTCAGAGAACCTACCAACTGAGCCTGTACCGTATTTCGTTGACAGATAAATAAATGATCCAGATTCATTCACACCCTTCTCGCAACTTTTACAGTAGTAAACCGGATTCAGTCGGAACAAGCCCCATTTGAATAATTTTTAGAGCGTTGCATTGTGAATATCTAAATAAAACTTAAAAGTACGGAGGTATTCCTAATGGAAGGCTGTAAAGGTGTTCGATGGGAGTTTACACTGACTGAAATCGATCTCCGTTCATCTCCGTATTTATCTGCTGGAAGGGATTGTGCGAACGGTGTGAGTACGACCACATTTCAATCCGGAAAGTTCCATTGTCGAATTGAAACGGCAAAAAAGATGTAACGGACCTTGCTGTCGTTTGATCGGAATTATTCCAAACGGATAATCTGAACCATTAATTCACTCGAGAACGTGCTCGAAGGCCCGGAACAACTTGATGGACCCAGCCCCCGGGAAAAATCACTCGTTAGGGAGCGCTCTCCCAAGTTACCATCATTTTGGTACTGTCTACTCTGGATTTGCTGGTTGGAAGGTCACATCATATTGGTGGGATGAATGGATGTACATCTAATAATGCATGAGATGCACTGGATACTTCCTCATATGAGAAAAAATGAACGTTAGAACCAAAGGAGTCGGTCTCGTAAGTCGTAACGGATAGTTTCCTTTCCAAACGATCAATTATAATCAAGAAGCGTCTCCCAAATCTTGCATTTCTTCTCGTATCTTCTCAGAGTGGACTAACGGTTCTTCTCCATCTCCGATTCATATCTGAAAAACACATTTTCTCTTCTCCAAGACTATTCTTGCTACTGATCGGTCTATCATCCTTTCTCTCAAGCGTTTTGCTTTCGTACCGCTCAGTCTTCGGTTCGCGCCCGTTTTATCATCAGATCTGTGAAGTCCCGCCATGGATTTAGGCTGCTTGGATTTAGGTTGCATTTCTGTTTTAGACAAGCAAAACAACGATTTTCTTGTTGACTCAGATAGAAAAGATGGCGACGTGGAAGACTCTGCAACAGCAACCGGGAAGGTCGGAAAGGTACTAGTAGAGTTCCTAATCATCTATGTGTGTCTTTTTAATTTTCCTACAAATTAAGGTTTCTATCAACACACAGGATTCGATGTTGGTCAACATAAGTACTTTTTAGCGACAGGTGGCCATTGTTTCACTGTTTGGACTTTGGCTGTTCTGAATTTTTGTTGAATACTAATTAGTTGTAACCCTAACGAAATATGTTTATATGAATGAAATATCTCTTCGATGTATATCGCAGGAATCTTTGGCGTTTTAAAATTCAGTAGTTTTTTTTTCATCTGTTCCTCGTTTACTTTGTTTTTAATTGTTTGATTGAGCCTATATTATGTGGTAAGACTTTGATTCCTCCTTGACTGTTTATATCTTAAGGAGAATGCATTTCAGTAAGGTTCTTATCTTTTTCAAACCTATAATAATGCTACTGCTAGTTCAAGGGCTCTGTGGGCTTGAAGGTACTCAAATCATAAAAGAACAAACTGTAACAAGGATTTTGTGCAAATACGCCTGGTTAGGGGGGGGGGGTGTTAGTTTACTTTGTTTTTAATTGTTGAAATGAGCCTCTGCTATGTGGTAACTCTTTGACTCTTGTCTTACTTCAACCTGGAATAATGCTACCTATTATGCTAGTGTCAAGGGCTCTGTGGGCATGAAGGCACTCAAATCACAAAAAGGACAAAATGTAACAAGGGTTTTGTGAAAATATACCTGGTTAAGGGGTGTCACAACTTGTTCTTTTGCTATTATAAGGCCTCCTGTGACCCTCACTGGCTCTAACTTTAGTCTATATTTTGACATTCATGTTGCCATATTTTATGACTTTTCCATGCCAAAGAAATCTTTTCGACACCATTTTGTAATTTATTATCACTAATGTGATTTCAAATGTTATGGATGCTCTTTTCAGTTGTAAAGAACTGAGCTAGAGAAAAAAAAAAACTCTTGACATTGTGAATGTAGTTTAATTTAGACTATGTTGCAAATTTTTAGTTGAATGCTTCATGCATAACATAGAAATAACTCCTTTTTCAATCTGCAGAATTTTGAAATCAAGAAAGAGTTTGTTCAATTAAAAAAAAGTGTACCTGAGATGAGAATGTGAGATGAACGAGTGACAAGACTAGAAATGACAGAATTAGAGATTAGCACAGTAGAGATGACTGAGTAGTTCCAATTGGTGACAAGGTGATGGAGTAAATTGAGATGGTTTGGTCACACACATAGACATCACAAGTGAAAAAGACTAGAAATGACAGAATTAGAAATTAACACATTAGAGAGGACAGAAGGGCAGCCCCAATTGGCGACAAGATGACAGTCAATTGAGATGATTTGTCACATGCATTTGACGATCAATGACTGCACTAATGAGAAGTGACTTGGTGCAAGTAGAAGGCTCTAAAAGGATCAGAGAAAATTTGGGCTGAAGTGGTAAAATATGAACTAAGGACTTGCAATTGGAGAGAAAGCATGGCTGTTGATAGAGAACCATGGTGAGGCAGGATTTGTGTAGACAACATCAAATTGTTGGCATTTAAAGCTGAGATGAATTACAAATGACATCAAATTGTTGGAATTTAGGGATGCAGGCATCTGCACCTCAGTGATGGAAATGTAATCAGTACTGTAAAGCGACAGTAAAAAAAGGAAAAATAATCTTTAAAACGACTAAACCAACTTCTTGGAGTTCTTTCGTAAGAGGCTTACAGATGATTCCAATCAATCACTGTTTCAAATTTAGGGATGGCAGGCACCCTTCCGAGCACCTCAGTGATGGAAATGTAAACAGTATTGTATTAAGGCTTAAATTTTTTGTTCTGGCTGACACTAAGGCTTCAATTTCATGATTATATTTGAAGATTCAAATATAAGCTCATCATATTAAAGCAAAAAAAAAAGTAATTATGGTTAAGAAAAAGGAACTTGGCAGCCTGCAGCAGGCCCACTTCTAGGACTCTTCATGCTTACACAGCTCTAAATTTATGTGTGCAGAAATGTGCTTTTGTGTCTGCATGTATGAACACAAACTCCTGAATTAGATTGATGTTTGCAAAA